TGCAGTGAGCTCAGAGATGGGCCATGGTATGGGGGGCACTATGCACAGATAAAATGAGGGCCTCAGCTGGGCATGGTACACGCTTCTCATCCCAGAACTCAGGAGGCTGAGACAGGAGGACTGCTGCTAGCTTGAGGCCAGACTGAGCTACATAATGAGTTCAAGCTCAGCCTGAAGTACATAGTGAGACTCTGTCTCAAAAGGAAAACAAAGACAAAAAGTTGCCACCATGGTTTCTGGCGAGGGCCTCTCCTCCTGGCTTGTTGGTGCCTTCTTCCTCCTGGGTCCTCCATGGCAGAGGAGGGCTTTGGTGTCTCTTCCGTCGTACACAAGGAGCTGGATTACGGCCCTGTCATCAAGACCTCCTGCCCTGCCACCTTTCTTAGGCCCTGCCTCCAGGCGCAGCCGCAGTGGGGTAAAGGACTTTACCATGGGTCTTGGGGGACCCAACTCAGCCCTCAGCACCCTGCTTCCCTGCAACTTGGAAACGGGGGGCGCTGGGCTCGCTGTAGACTCACAGCCCCATCCCCTCTCTGTGGGACCGCAGTGTCCAGGGCCTGTGACAGCAGCGGTTTCTCAGCTTCCCTCTTTCAGGTGGGAGGCGGACGCAGTTCCCGCCACTCCTGCAGGCTGCCCTGAGGAGCGTCAGCACCCCAGCACCGCAGGGCCGCTGCAGGTGGATTCCAGGCTGGAGGCATCGGGACAGAGGAGGCGGGGAGGACCCAGGGGGTGGGACCCTGCAGTGGGGTCTGAGGAGGGCGTCCCAGGGGAGGCTTGCTTCATTAAGGAATGAGCTCCTTAATTTGGTGGCCTGAAGTGCATGCTTTTTATGTATTATTATTAATTTCTGGCAGTTTGGGGATTGAACCTAGAGCCTACACGCTGAGCTACGTTCCAAGCCTTTTTAAATTTTTTTTATCATTTTGAGATAGGTCTCCCTAAGTTTCTAATTAGCCCAAGCTGGCCTTGAACTTTTGATCCTCCTGCCTTGGCCTCACAGAATGCTGGTATGACAGGCATGCAGCACCATGCTTGGCTAAACCCATACTCTTTTTTTTTTTTTTTAAACCCATACCCTTGATGAATTTCACCACTACAACTTTTTTCCACTGGAGGAAAAAATAAGTGGTCAGATTTTAAGCAGCTCCCCCTACCTGCAGCAGCTGGACTGCCTTTTCCATCAGTCAGTTAGTCATTCATCAAACCTCTGCCTGCCCTGACTTCTAAGGCCACAGAGATGGTTCAACATTTACTGGAAGCCTGGCATGCTTTGCTGAGCGTTGAGCAGCCCCTCAGAACCAGATTACTAGCCCCAGAGACAGGAAGTGCCAGAAGTGGGCACAAGAGGCCACTGCCTCCTGAGCTTCTCTGCTACCCTCGTAGCACACAGAGCACCAGGCATCGAGCGCTGAGACTGAGCAAGGCCCCCTCTGCAGTCCCGTGTGTGGGTCCAACACAGCGGAGACAGTGCGGACGGGATCCTACCTCCACACCGCCTTCCCAGCCTTCCTTCTCAGGCCAGGTCTCCAGCTCTATTTTTAGACACCCCAGACAGGGCCTCCCGGGATCTGCTGGAGCCTGAGATGTAACCAGAGCCCTGGCTAGAGTGGCCCCAAGCTCCAGTGGGAGAGTTGCCGGGAGAGGCCAGGGTCAGCAGGGCCTCAGGGCCTCCCAGGCCCCGGAGCCCCTCCGTGGATACCTAGGTCACTGGAGGCTGAACCGGGGCTGCTCCGTGTCCCAGTGACACAGCTAGGCCACCCCAGACTGAAAAGTGGGATGGGCAAATGTGGATGGGTCTCTGCTCTTCCTGTTCCTGGAGTGCCCCGGCTGCCCCTGCCTCCAGCCACACCCCGAGGAGCCAGAGGGTGCAGAGAGCAGTGGGCCACATCCAGGCCTGCTTGCTGCTTATAACTAGAGATGTTAAAAGTCAGGAGTCAGGCCTGGGGGGGCATGCCTATGATCCCAGCACTAGGGAGGATGAGGCAGGAGGATTGCCAAGAGTTTAAGGCCAGCCTGCACTACATAGCAAGACCCTGTCTCAAAAACAAAACAAAAAGCAGTCACAGCTGGGTGCCGCTCAGCGGTATAGCACTCACGTACCACGTGTGAGGCCCTCCCTGGGTTTCATCCCCAGCAAAAATAAGTAAGGTCACATAACAGTCAGAGTAAAACACACAGTGTAGGACTTCCACCTACTCGTGTGTGCACTTACGGCTCAGTGGCGTTGCACACAGCCACAAAGTTGCATAACCATCCCTTCTACCCATCCCCAGGCTGCCGCGCCACTATTCTGCTCACTGTCCCTACAGATTCAGCTACTGTGGAAACGCAGAATAAGCAGAATCATCCAGTATTTGTCTTTGTGGTTGGCTTGTTTCACATGGCATAAGGTCCTCAGGGTCACCTATATGGCAGCTTGTGTCTCAACCTCTTTCCTTTTCAAGGCTGAATAATATTCCTCTCTCTGTGTGTGCCATGTTGTGTTGATCCACACATGTTGAGACAGGGTCTCATTATGTAACCTAGGCTGGGCTCAAACTTGCAGCAATCCTCCTGCCTCAGCCTCCTGAGTGCTGGGATGACGGGCACACACCACCATTCCCAGCTATTTCTGTCCTTTAGCTCTTAAGAATGACTCTGCTGTGAACACGGGTGTCCAAGTGTCTCTTAAAATCCCTGGAGTGCAGGCCTAGAAATGCAATTGCTGAATCATGTGGTAATTTGTTTTAGTATTTGAGGAACACCATGCTATGTTCCTTAGGAGAATTAGAAATTTTAAAAAAAAAAAATTGCCAACGTTTTTAAACCTCTGGGTTTGGGGCTTCTGTCACAGAAACAGTGTGATGACACTGGTCCTGTGTTCGTGGAACCAGATTTCTCCAGTCCCTCGGAGACACTGGCCCATCCCAGTGCCAGCGCCTAGGGTCCCCTTGTTTGCCTCCCGAGTCTGACCACCCCAGGGCCATGCTGAGAGCACGGGCTGAGGTTGTCCGGCTATGACCACTAAGAGCTCATTTCCAGCTGGGTGCGGTAGCCACCGCCTAGAATCTCAGCACTCCCAGAGGTTGAGGCAGGAGGATCGAAAGCTTTATCCCAGTCTGGGCAATTTAGTGACTTAGTGAGACCTTGTTTAAAAGAAAAAGTTTAGAAAGGGCCAAGGACGCAGCTCGGGATGAAGTTCCTGGGCTCCGTCCCCATACTCTCCCCCAGGGACCTGCCCAATGGACTCAGGCAGGTCACTGAACCTCTTTGGGCCTCTATTTTTCCATCTCCAAAGTGCGACAATTCATCCATCTCAGGGCCGTATGAAAATGAAACCAAGTGACCTATGTAGCTGTGTAGACCACGGTGGGTACTTGAGGAAGTGCTGCACGGAGTCTGTGAGCTCAGCAGAAACCCCCACTTTCCCACAGGTTCAAGAGTTCTCGTTTCATCAATCCGTTTTTACATTCCCACTCTGGCCCCTTTCCTTTGTGTTCCCTAGTTTGTGGCCCTTGATGTGTAAGTCTAGAACTGAGCATATGCTCTTGGCGTGACCTGGCCAGTGTAAGGTAGGACCTATTACTATCCCCTCCACTGCAGGCTGCATACCTACATTAATGGAACCCAAATAGGCGGTGGATTTTGTTTTGTGACCTTACGTTATGCATTAGATATAAAATGTTCCCCTGAAGTCTCATGTGATTAGAGCTGGGGCTTCTGAAAGGTGACTGGATGAGGTGTGCGGGTCAAGGTTCTCCACTGGAACAGAATCAAAAGAAAGTATGTGAATAATTCTGTAAAGGAATTTATTAGGTAGCGTACAGGGTCTGAGGTGGGAGAATCTGCAATGGCCATCTGCACACTGAAGAACAGTAGCTGCTCAGCCCCAAAGTCTGGCAGCCACAGAACAAGATGAGTCAAGGATGCAGCGCCCATCCAAGGTCAAAGGCCTGGAAGCTCCTGGAGGGTCGCAGGTGTGAGTCTGGGTTAGAGGTTGAAGAAAGTGGAGTCCAAGGTCCACAGGCAACAGCAGCAGAAGGTGCACTGCTCAGGCAGGCTGGAGCTCTTCACACATTTGCAAACTTCTTCCCTCTTCCCTTTTACTCCACGCGAATTACAAGCCTATTGGCTGGTGCCACCCACAGGGGGCAGGTCTTCCCCCTCAGTTTGCTGGCCTGCATGTCACCCATCTCCAGACACACCCACAGACATACCCAGAACTATACTTTTTATTTTTTGAGACAAGGTCTCACTATGTAGTTCAGACCGACCTTAAACTATGTAGTCCAGGCTGGTGGAAAACTCGCAGCAATCCTTCTGCTTCAGCCTCCCAAGTGTTGGGATTGTAGGTGTATACCACCACACCTGGCTTCAGAACCATACTAATCTGCTAGGTGTTTCTTACTCTGGTCAAATTGTTTCTTACACTGGATGAACAGCCCCAGGACAGCTCTAATCTCATCAAGGGATCCATCCATCGGTGATTCAAAAGATAAATAGGCTAACAGGAGGCGGGGCCCAGCTGGAGAAAGCAGGTCACATGATTTGGAAGGGTGTTTCTGTTCTCTGGCTCCCTGGATCCCTGCTTCCTGGCTGCCATGAGGTGAGCAGCTTTTCTCTCCCTTCCTTTATACCACTCGATTCCTCCTTGTAGCCAGCTGGCCATGGACTGACCCATCTGAAACCACAAGCCCAAATAAACCTCTCCTCCTTTAAATCGTGTATGTCAGGTAATTTGTCCCAGCAAACAAAAGCCAACTCACACACTTTACCTCGATCCTTTGATGTTTGTTGAACTGAGAGTACTAACATCCCAAATCTTTTTCACAAGAATGTTCACAAATCTCTTTCTTCTATCCCACTCGTGAGTGAAGGCTCGGACCTAAAGTGAAGCACTAGCCTTTATCCACTCTTATACTTTATCCTGTAGGACAAGTGCCTTCCCTACCTGATGGTTCAAGGGAGACCTCAACTGTGTTTTCATGTTCAAGGAAACTAAAGGAATGTGTAGCTGACTCTTCAGAATTGGAGAGAGGGTGTTTATTTGCATCTTGATGGAGTCCTGGGCAAGAGGGATGTTGCTGGCCGGCAGGGCAGCAGGAAGACTCTCAAATGTATGGCTTTAATGTCCAATGCGTTACCCACGTTGGGTTCACCTCGGGGACCCGGCATGTGGTGCCTGCGTCAGGACAATGGCCCATCTGTCGCAGTGTGGCTCTGTAGGACCTGAGAGGTTCCAGCATGGCTGAGGACTTGGAAGAAGCCAGGAGCCTAGAGAGATCTCAGCTCCAGGCCCTGGTGGTGCTGGCGGCCTCAGCCCTTCCTGCTGCTCCAGGTGCACAGGCCCAGCCCTACCTGCCTCGTCTCGACAGCAGGACCTTGAGCCCGAGCTGCCAGATGGGAACCCTGCCCAGCTGCCGCCAACGGTCACACCACACGAAGGGGAAAGAGCATCTTTATTGCGTGGCTCAGCCTCCCGGGTGTCACCCAAATGTCACTGTCCTTGTGGCCTCAGGGAGGCTATGGTCAAACCTGGGCCGGTGCAACTGCCACCCAGAAGAGGCCTCAGTCCGTCTTCCTAAACCCTGGAAGGCGAAGTGCAGGGTAGCCGGGTTGAAGGCAGCCAGGGTCCCCACCCCACCCCCCGAGCCCAGCACCTGCAGAATGGGCAGGGCGGGCTGCTTCCTGCAGCTACCGTGAGTCTCTGCAACCCACAGCCACAGTGACAAATGAGTCCTTCATTAATGAAAGGAGCAGATGCTTCCCCAGCGCAGAGCCGCTGCCCCCGGCTCCTCTGGTCTGAGTCATAAGGGTGAACAGGAGCTGCTGCTCAGCAAGGAGGAGCTACTTTCTTCCCTATCAAGCGCTGTACCACTCAGCCACATCTACAACCTTTCTCTCATTCTATTTTGAGACAGGGTCTCGCTAAGGTGCCCAGGCTGGCCTCGAACTTGTGACCCCTGTCCTGGAGTAGCTGGGATCTCAGGCATGCACAACGCGCACCCAGCTGAAAGAGAACCTGCTCCAGTCCAGGCCGGCCAATCTAGCTGTGCGACCCCAGGCAAGTGGCTACAGCTCTCTGTGCTTTGGTGTCTTCACTAGGGAAACTGCTAAGGCCAACTTCAGGGAGCCATCAGGCAAACACTGCCGTGGAGGGACTGTGCTAGGGAACGGAGCCTCCTGTGAGTGACTGAGCCACAGGCCTTCACTTTCCACAGCGTTTGGCCAGCACATGCCCTGCGTACTGGGATTGACTACACCAGTTATCCAGGGCATAAAACAGAGGAGGCTCAGAGAGGTTATGAGAAGGATGAGTTCCCTCCCAGCACTGCAAAAACAAAACCAAACAAAAAAAACCGGCCACAAGTCCTTCCAGAGTCACGTAGCTCATAAGCTGGTAGACGGAGAGTCCAAACTCAAGTACCTGCCTGCCCCCAGGATGTTTCCTACATATTAAACCTCTTTCAAAACAGAACCAGGGAAGAGGAGCACACATGCCTGTAATCCCAGCACTCAGGAGGCCGAGGCAGGAGAACTGCTACAAATCTGAGGCCAGCCTAGACTACATAAGAATAACCTATTTCCAAAAAAAAACAAAACCAGAAATTCCTCTGGGCATGGTGGCACATGCCTGTAATCCCAGCACTCAGGAAGTTGAGGGTTGGGAGTCCAAGGCCAGCCTGGGTGACATATTGAGACCGTCTCAATCCCCCACCCTCCAAAACTAGGCAGCGGGGGGGGGGTGGGGCACAGGAAGCTCCAAACATGAAAGTTACCCAATTGTCTGATCTTCTGGAAGAGCGGGAGGAAGCCGCGCAGCACGCTGTGGATCCGGTACACTGCGGGGACAAAGGGGGCTTAGTCGGGTTGTGCCCCCTCCACCCACAGCCGCCCCAGGCAAGGGCCTAGCCCACCCAGCACGGCTCCACGGTGCGGCTGCATGCTGCGCTCAGGCGACGGAGCCAAGGTTGGGACGCCGACAACAGCAGAGGCCGGAGCCCCGTGGACTCAGCCCCGGCTCCATCGCCCGCTTTGGGCACCTGCCGACCCCGTGTTGTTCACGTTAACTGTTGCCACTGAACTTTTAGGGAACTGCCTCTCTTTTCCCACGAGGTTCTGCCAGTGACTTCACCCTGACCTTGCGAGTGGTCAGGAAGAAAACACGGCACAAGCGCGGGGGATACAGCTCAGCCGCACAGCGCCCGCCTGGCAAGCTCACGGTCCTGAGTTCGATTCCCCGTACCAAGACAAAAAACAAAAATCAAAACAAAAAAAACACGGGCACAGGAAATGTAAAAAAAAGCTGCACTGGTGGCGGGGACTTACCCAGCCCGAAGTAGATGCCCACGGTCTCCAGCGAGGCGAAGGTGAGCAGGCCGACGCCCAGGGACATGAACCAGTCTGTGGGCGGCGAGGGAGGGCTCAGCCCACGGTGGCTCCGCCCCTCCTCGCCCCGCCCCGCCGTCACCCCGCCCACCAAGGTACCCGCCCATCTCTCCACCCCTACGTCGCCTGAGTACCCGCCCCGCCTCCCGCTAGCCCCGCCCCGCCTCCGCCTCGGCGCTCGCCGTCGCCCCGCCCCCCTTCACTGCTGGCGTGGTGCCTCACCTGCGTAGTAGTGGTAGCTCACCAACAGGGCCCCGATGCCGAAGCACAGCAGCACGAAGTGGAAGAACTCGTCTGCCAAGGCGGAGGCAGCAGCGTTACTGTTCGCCCCTTCTCTTCCTGTCTCCCATGTGTGCGTTGTGTGCATGCGCGGGCCCGGACCTCAAGGCCTCGCCCGCGCTGGCCAAGAGCTCTACCCCTCTGCCACATCCAAGAACTCTCTTGTTTTTGTGTTGTTTTGAGACAAAGTCTTGCTGTGTTGCCAAGCTGTCTCAAAATCCTGGGCTCAATAGATTCTCCTGCCTTGGCCTCCCCACTAGCTGGGACTGTGGGCATCTGTCATGTTCGTCAATGACAAAGCCTCTGCTCAAATGGAAACTTTCAGAGACACTACTCCTGCTCCAAACTAAAACATGTTGGGCGTGGTGGTGCAAGCCTGTCATCCCAGCACTCGGGAGACTGAGGCAGGTGGATCACCATGAGATGGAGGCCAGCCTAGACTACATAGCGAGATCTGGTCTCAAACAACCAAAAATAAATAAAACAGCCCTAAGACTATGCCTTTCCAGACCTTACTCCCCATGTTATTTTATTTATTTATTTATTTTTGTCTTTTTGAGACAGGGTCTCACCATGTAGTTCAGGCTGGCCTTGAGCTCACTTTGTAGCCCAGGCTGGTCTTGAACTCACAAGGATTCTCCTGCCTCAGCCTCCCAAGTGCTGGGATTACAGGTGTGCACCACCACGCCCAGCCCTCCCCATGTTATTTTTATGTCACACATTGTCATCCAATTTATGTCGTCTTTCTGAGTTCTCATCTCCCTTCCACCCCACCCCACTCTGGTCAGCTCTGTGATGGACAGGAGCTTAGTGAGCTGCCTTCCCCAACGTCCTCCAGCATGGCAGAGGACTGCCCTGGCAGGCACAGGTGCTCCATACTTTGTTGAATGTTAAAATAATGGTAAGAAATATAGGTTGGCCAGGAGGAAGCTGCTAAGGTCCCAGGGGTGTAGGGGTGCTGAGAGGTAGAGCTTGTGCCCCACAGGACCCCAGAGCGCAGAGGCCATTGTACTTTTCCAGGCACATTGGGGGCCACTTGGGAGGAAGCACAAATCTCATGCTTTCTCTGGCCTTAACAAGGGAGTTTTAGGGGCTGGGGATTTAGCTCACCAGCACAGCGCCTGCCTGGCAGGTCGTGAGTTCGATTCCCAGTATCGGAAGAAAAACAAACAACAACTAAAAAAGGGAGTTTCAGAGGCTGTGTGTACTGTATATTAACTTGGTGGTACTGGGGATTGAACCTAGGGCCCTTACACTGAGCTCCTTCCCCAGCTGTGTTTAGTTTTTATTTTGATACACTGTCTTGCTAAGTCTCTGAGCTCCCCAAGCTAGGTTCAAACTTTCAATTTTCCTGCCTCAGCCTCCCAGGGTACTGGGATTTCAGATAGGAGTTACCATGCCCAGTGCAAAGATTTTTGAAACAAAGAAAGGGCTGTGGGTGCAGCTCGGTGGAAGAGCCCTTGCCTAGCATGCTCGAGGCCCTGGATCCCATGCCCAGCACAATAGCAAAAACCAGTAGAGAGGAAAAAGCCAGTGTGAAGAAGCTTGTGTGGAACAAGGCAAAAGTGCAAGTGGGTGCTGAGGCTTCGGGGATGCCCAGCACAGCCGCCCCTGCTGTGAGACCCCTACCGATTCCCGACCTCTCTGAGCCTCAGCGCCCTCACTCGGGGCCATGAGGGCCACCAGGGCTGCACGGCACAGTGCTCTGTGAGCAGCACGGGGCTCTGTGAGCGACAGGTGTCTCCCTCCAAGCTGTGGTCTTGGCTGGCGTGCGGCTCCATGGAGAGCACTGATGGGGCACTTGGGGGGCCCTGGGCTCATCCCCAGCACCTTGCACAAGAATGAGCCCAAGGCCCCTAGGCCCCCCCACCCCCCACCGCAGTCTCCCGTCCTGCTGCCTTCTTCCCAGAGCCTGGCCCCCTCCCGTGTTCAGTTCCCATCCTGGCCGCAGAGCTGGGGCGCTCTGTCACCCCAGTGACTTCACACAGCACCAAAAGAGCCCCGGGCCAGGGCTGGCGGCCAGGCCGTGCCTGCCGCTCACTAGTAGTGAGGCCACCCTGCCACCTTGAGCCTCAGTTTCCACATCTGAAAGTGGGTATCGCCACTTCACTGTCCCTCCGGTTCAGAGCAGAGGGGCCGTGACCACTGTTTTAGGCCACCACTGCCTCGAACCCCAGCAGCGTGGACAGCCGGGTGGGTGTGGCCCTGGACGGGTTTCTTACCATCCTTCTTTATGTTCAGTCTCCTTAACTGCTCCTCCGCCTCTCCTTGGGAATAAGCAAGATACAACGTTTCACTCGAACACAAATGCGGCAACAAACAGAAACAAACAAAAAATCTCCCAAGTGCAGTGGTCCCTGCTTGTAATCCCAGCGGACTGGAGGCTGAGGCAGGAGGTTCACACTGAGTGTGAGGCCAGGCTGGGTTGCACAGTGAGGTCAAGGCCACCCAAAACACCAGAAAAACGAAAACAGGACAGCAGATGGGAGTTTCCTGTCCCTGCCCCACAGAGGTCTGAGCTCGTGGAGGCTTTCGGGATTGGGGTGCTTGTTGCATGGGCCCTGTCCTCCGAGCCCGCTGAGCCCACTCCGCCCCGTCCCATTTTGGTGACACTGGCTGGCTCAGCGGCCCTGCCAGGATGGAGCCGCCCTCTCAGGCCCTCCCCCAGGACCCAGGCAGGCCCTGCTCTCCCCAGCTGCTCTACCTTCTTCAGAGCCCACATCTCTCTGTCGGAGACCTGGAAACAGAAGCTCAGGGTCAGTGCCCGGCCGGCTTGGGGTCCTGGGCCGCCCCTGTGCCCTGGGGAGGCCACAGGTGACTCAGGTAAACATCCCCAGGGATGATCTGTGGGCCACTGTTGTCCCACTACCCTCCCGCTGCCCACCTCCCGCTGCAGCCCGGCCTGTCCACCTGGAGCCAGGCAGGGGATGCCCAGGGCCCCTGGGGTTCGCCATCACAGTGGCGCCTCTGCCAGGGCTGGCTGGTGGGCAGCCCGCATGAACAATTCCTGGCCCATGCCTGATCACTCACCTGCTTCCCCAGATGGCACCACCTCTCCCGAGCCATCTGCAGGGAAGGAAACCAGCAGTCACACAGGCAGGTCCTGGGGCAGGCAGGAGGCATGGGGTAGACACAGATCCTGCCCAGGGACTTACAACGGCTCTGGCGTGGGCCAAGTAAGAAAAGGAGTGGGTAGGGGCTCCTGCCTCAGCTAAGGGGGCAGCCACCACCTGCCAACCACCCAAAGCTGCTGCAAAGGCATTTGCTGGGTCTTACAGGTCTTCTACGTTCCAGGAAAAGCCAAGTTTACCATAAACTTGCCATTTTATTTATTTTTTTAGTTGGTTGGTTTTTGGTTTTTTGAGGCAGGGCTTCATTATGTGGATCAGGCTGTCCTTGAACTCACTATGTAGCCCAAGCTGGCCTTGAACTCATGGCAGTCCTCCTGTCTCAGCCTCCCCAGTGCTGAGATTACAGGCATGTACCACCACACTGGGCTTAAACTCCCCCCCCTTTTTTTTTTCCAGTACCAGGAACCGAACTCAGGATCTTGCGCTTGCCAGGCAGGTACTGTGCTGCTGAGCTAAATCCCCAGCCCCAAACTTCCCTGTTTTAAAGAAGGCTGGTAACCTGTATACGGTCACTCTACACATCCACCAGGAGTTGGTTCTGCGACACCTAGATACCCAGATGTGTGAATGTTCAAGCCCTTCCATTGTGAGTTGAGGTAGCATTTGCATATACTCTGTGCATATCTTCTTGTATACTTTCAACCACCTCCAGAAGACATATAATATCTAATACAAGGTTAGTGTGATGTAATATTTGTTACACTATAAAAAGTCTGCATATGTTCAGAATCTTTTTTTTTTTTTTTTTTTGCGGTGCTGGAGATTGAACCCAGGGCCTTCATAGTGAGCTATATCCTTGCACACACACACACGCACACACATATTTTGTTAATTTTAGGACAGAGTCTTGCTAAGTTGCTAAACTGCTTAGCTGGGCTGGAACTCTCCTGCCTCAGCCTCCCTGCATTTAGAGTGCTGGGATCACAGGTGTCACCCGCCACCACATTTGACTTTTTGTTTTTAATTTTTGATTCTAGGTTGAACTTCTGAGTGCAGAGCCAGAGGATGCCAGAGGCCTCCTGCACCCTACCCATCGAGGATGCTGCATCTTTTGGGTGGGTCACTGTTTCATGTGCTTCTGAGCAGGGAAAAACCCCAGCCAAAGCTAGAAGCAGCACCCTGACTTGAAAGGTGCTCAGACTGAAAAGGTGTGAGCTGTAGAACGGATGAACTATATTAACAATTTTTTCTTCTTCTGATGTTTAACAGGAGCTGTATGTACCCAGGGCCTGAAGGATGCTAGGTCCCGCTCTACCCCTGAGCTGCAGCCCCAAGTAAGAACAGGAAACCGACAGAGACAGCACCGCGGCCTGCAGGGGAGGGGGCGCCTTGTGCACGCGTCCGGGAGGCAGGGCCGGGCTGGTCACACGGCCTCTGCCGGCCTGGTGCCGGTCCAGCGCCGGGGCCTCTCTCCCAGTCAGCCCCTCCGACCTTCAGGACCTGCACGGTCCTGCGATCTCCTTGTCTTTCAGGGCAGCCCCAGATCACAAGCGCCACAAGGGGGCGCTCAGCGCCACATGGAGAGACACCGCATGCAAAGGGACCTCAGGGCCAGCGCTGAGCGCGAAGAGAAGGCAGGAGTGACCGAGCCCTTCAAAAGTCAGGGGGGCTGGGCGTGGTGACGCACTCCTGTAATCCCAGCACTCAGGAGGCTGAGACAGGAGGATCTTTGCGAGTTCGAGACCAGCCTGGGCTACAAATTGAGCTCAAGGCCAGCCTGAACTGCATACTGAAACCCTGTCTAAAAACAAACAAACAAACAAAAACAAAAACAACAACAAAAAAAGTCAAGGGGAGGAACACATACTTCACAAATAGGTGACATGACAACAGTCTGGGAGGCTGAGGCAGGAGGACTGCAAGTTCCAGCTCACCCTGGGCAACTTAGCAACTTAGGAAGACCTATCTCAAAATGAAAAAAAAGATAAATAGAAGGGCCTGGAGATATAGCTCAGTGTGAAGGCCCTGGGTTCAATCCCTAGTATGAAAAAACAAACAAACAAAACAAATAGGTGACTGTAATTACTTTTATAAGAAAAATATTTTAAAATACACATAAACATAACAGCTTCTCTTATTTTACATTCAGTGAACCCTTCCTTAAACTACGTGAGAAATAAAAAACCTTTCCTGTTTTTTTCCAGGTTTGGTGCTGGGATGGTGCCCAGGATTCTGAGTCAGGTAACACTTTCGGTGGTGAAAAGCAGCACCTTCAGCTAAGCAAGCGAGAGCACAAAGACGTTCTCAACGCCGCCCCAGAGAGGCAGCCTCCAGTCACACGTGGTGCAAAGCGCTCTCGTCTTTTTACTGAGAGATGCCTGAGTGTTTCCTGCTGGTACCTGTGCCAGGCTCCTGCGCCAGGCTCCTGCCCAACTGCTCTTTTCCATCACAGGGCTCCCGGCTGCGGTACTACACTGTCTAGACCTCCCTGCGGTAGCTGGGGGCCGGATGAGCCGGCCCTGACTCTTACATGGCCCAGGGTCCCAAGAGAGGGTCCCGACCATACTCTTTTTGCTGTTTAGGTGGAGGGGTCAAGAAAGCGTGTGACCTGTCCAGGTCACCCCACAAGTCAAAGTTATAGCCCAAGCCAGGAGGAGGCCCTGCAGCATCACTGTCTCCTCCCCGAGCCCCAGCCTCATGTCCTCCCAAGTCACCGGATGACCCCTTACCTCCGTAGAGCTGCAGTGCATCCTTCGCCATGGAGGGTGCCCCGTGCTCGGCCCCTGCAGAGACAAACCCTCCGATAAGAGCCCAGGCGATGTCCCCGCTGTGCCCACCTCCACTGCACTCAGCTAAGCAAGGATGCAGGGGCACAGCGGCCTGGTGAGGGCCTTGTCTTTACTGTCCCACCCCTCTCGGCCCCTCCTGAGGAGACAGTGCCCAAGTGATGAAGAAAGAACCGGGCGCCTGAGAGGACCCAGCCCTGCTCTGGGTCAGTAACCACTGTCATTGAGTGAGCACCTAGTACATCCCACAGTGTGTGAGTAATTATATTCACTGGTTCATACGAGCCACATGGGAACCCCATGAGGAAAATCTTAGCACAACTCTACCTGTTAGACAGATAAGTAACCGAATCTCCACCTTGTTTGGGATTTTTGTGGTACTGGGAATTGAACTCAGGACCTTGTACTTGCCAGGCAGGTGCTTGTGCCACTGAGCTATATTCCCGGCCCTTGAAGGAACTGAATCTCAAAATGCTAAATTAGAGCTCAGAGGATAGCCCAAGGGTTTAGAACTTGCTCAGCACTCACGAGGCCCTAGGCTTGATTTCTAGCAGCACAGAAAGGTCGGAGGAAGGAAGGAAAAAAGTTAAATTATTTTTCCAAACACATAACCAGTAAGCAGTAACTCTGTCAGGTCTGTTACAAAAGCTGCACTTCCAGTCATTCCTTTCCTTTCCTCCTCCCTTTCTCTCTTCCTTTCACAGTGTCAGGGTAGAACTCAAGGCTGAGACTGCCAGGCACACCCTCTACCATGAAGCTGCACCCCGGCCTCCCTAGCCATTTTTATCTGGAGCAAGAGAACCCTGTGTTCAATCCCAATTTAGTTGGCAGCATCTGTGAAACACTTGCCGTGTACCAGGCTCTGTACTAGGCACTATTTCAGATCTTTCTCCTGTGCTCTTTTCCTACTCAAAAAGTATTTTCTGTCAGGCGTGGTGGTGCATGCCTGTAATCCCAACACTCAGGAGGCTGAGACAGGAGGATCACTAGGCGTCTGAAGCCAGCCTGGGTTACAAACTGAGTTCAAGACCAGTCTGAACTGCATAGTGAGACCCTATCTCAAAAAAAAAAAAAAAAAAAGAAAAAAAAAAAGAAAGAAAGAAAGAAAAGTATTTTCTTTGTAAAGATTTTTTTCCTTCTGGTTGTAAAAATAAAGCAGTTATTCATAGGACAGTTCAAAACGAGAGAAAATAAAAATTTTTGAAATTTCATCATCCAGAGATAACCACTATTAACACTTTGATATTTTTCCTTCTAGTCTTGTTTGTGACCATATAAGTGTCCATTTTTCCAAAGTATACAAGAGCTCAAATGAACTCTACAACTTGATATTTTTTTCTTTTCTTTTCTTTTGAGACAGGGTCTCACTATGCAGCCCAGGGTGGCCATGAGCTCTCAGTAATCCTCCTGCCTCAGCCTCTTTAGTGCTGGGATTACAGGCGTGCACCGCCACACCCATGACATTTTTCTTTTTCCCTTCAGAGGCAGATGGAGGGCAGAGCTATGGCTGCACAAGTGCAGCACCGTTCACCTGTCTTGTGCTGTGGGACACTGGGCCCCTTCCTCTTATGCCCCACTCTAGACACTGTGGCGAGTGACAGCCTCACTCGAATAGCTCGGGAGTCCCACTGTGACCCCTGGGGCAGCCTCTGCCTACCGCATGGGCCGCACCCGCGGGGGTGTCCTGTGCCCGGGCTCCGTCCACGCTGGCCAGGAACTCTGGGGTGCTGGTCCTCATCACTGCTGTCTGTGGGGACAGACACAAGCTGGGGCCTCAGCTTGCCACTGAGGAAGGCCCGATGCCGGGCCGGGGGCCCTGCCTCTCCCCTGCGTGTCACTTCCTGGTTCTGGTGGCTCCCTGTCCACCCTGTGCCTCCTTGGCCACCACGCCCACGACCGGGGATGTCGTGAGGATGAGCCCAGGGCGCAGGCACTGGGTGACGGGTTGGCTTGTGCCCCCAAAGTGCACGCAGTGTCCCCTCTGCACCTGCGTCCCGTGCCCTGGATGCGCCCTGTGGCCCCTGCCCAGCCTCCGAGCAGCACTCCCCGTCTCCCCCTGCGGTTAGGGGCACTGTCACACCTCCTGCTGCCCTGCCCCTAGCTCTGCCTGCTTGACAGCCAGGGAATCCCAGGCCTGTGGTCCTGTGACACAGCTCTCTGCGGCCCTGAGGTCCTGGCTGGGTCGCCTGCACCTCAAGGACAGCCAGCCTGGAGCAGGCACGCAATCCATCAGGATTTAGAAGATGCAGGTCACATGCCCTCCGGGACAGCTGGCGATTGGGAGAACTCAGGCCGAGTTTGTGGCCTAGGGTGGGGGTGGGGGAGGCTCCCTTCCCTCCAGGGCTCTGAGAAAGCCTCCCTCGGCTGAGCTCAGGGTCCTTGGGCAAGTGGAGACCTCTGGCCAATTACGGGTGTCCTGAAGAATTCCAGAAAGCCAGCTTAACTGTGTTTAAAGACCAGAGCATCCTCAGTCTCAAATGGACCCAGAGGAAGAGGTATCGTGAGCGCACGTGTCCTGGGTACTTGGAGGCGGGATGGGTTCTAGGATGTGCCACAGAGAGCAGAAGCCGTGGAGGCGCCTGTCCCTTAGCTCAGTGCGCTGTCTGCGCAGACCTGCACAACCCCTCCCCCCACATACCTAAGGCATCTCTAGATTAATACCGGTATTTGTTTTTGTTGTTGTTACCTTTTTGAGACAGAGTTTTACTATGTAGCCCAGGCTGGCCTTGAACTCGCAGCCATCTTCCTGCCTCAGCCTCCTGAATGCTGGGGTTACAAGTGTTTGCCACCACACCCAGCCGCCCCAGGAAACAAAATCTCAAACCAGAGCCCAGGACACGCAACAGGCCAGAGGACAGGCCTGGGCTGGAGGAGGGAAGAGTTCCCGCTCTAAGCGCCCCAGGGAGTCTCGCTGAGGGCTCTTGCAGCAGGTCCCTCTCCTGCCTCAGTAAATGCCACATTGTTGCTGCTGCTATCAATTTAGCCTTGTATTTCAAAGTGGAAGAGCGAAAGTGAAACAAGATTGCTATTTCATAGAGGAAAACCTGGTCCTGTATACACAAGACTCCCTGGAGGTGCCAGTCATTGATTTACACAAAACAAAACAAAACAAAGCAAAGCAAAAAGCAAAGCAAAGCAAAACAAAACAAAACAAAACAAAACAGAGCAACCCTCCTACACACACAAAGTAAAACCTTCTGAGGAAGATGCTATGTATGCCATGAACCCAGGAAGAGGGGAGTGCTTAACCATGATCTTAATTTTAGAGCTCTTGCTAGTGCTGAGATTTTTTTATAGGGATAAAGATTTTTCTTAGTCAGTAGGGCTCAACCTGTAATCCCAGCACTCTGGGAGACTGAGCCAGAAAGGTTGCAATTTGAGGCCCGCCCATGTCTCAAAATAAAAAATAAAGAAAAGGGCTACGGATGCAGCTCAGTGAGAAGGCCCTGGGTTCCATTCCCAGAATGGAGTAAAAGGAAAAAAGAAAAGAGCTTGCAGTGCTGAGGATGGAAAAGGACCCTGGAGTACACTAGGCAAGAGCTCTGGCCCTGAGCTGCAGCGCAGCCCCTTCTCGTACAAAGAATTTATTCGTCAGTGCAGTCCTGGGTTACTGACTGTGGCTGTCCTCACCCACTAGGCACAGGGTGGAGGCTACACGGTTAGTCCTCTACTCAAAGACCCACAGCTGGGTAGGGGCACAGACAGGACGTGAGTCCATGGTGGAGACTTCAGCCCTGAGTGACCCTGATAGCCCTGCACAGTGCTCTACACGAGATGCAGCCACTCCGGGGTCTGCTCAGAAAACAAAAATAGCTGCAGCTGGGCGTGGTGGCGCACATCTGGCATCCCAGCACTTACGAGGCTGAGGCAGGAGGATCACTGAGTTCGAGGCCAACCTGGGCTACATAGCAAGACCCTGTCTCAAAAAAAAAAAAAATAAATAACTAAAAAGAGAAAGAAAGGAAGAAAAGAAAGACAGAACTGTCTACTCAATTACAGCACAGCTATGCCCAAAAACAAAGGAACAAACAGTGGCGGCTGGGCATAGAGAGGAAGAGGGGGAACAGCGCTGATACATCAAGTACGTCGCCTCAAGCATGAGGGATTGTGCTCCCAGGTGGTGTTTTGGGTATTTTGGTCCTTTCCTTTCCTTTCCTTTCCTTTCCTTTCCTTTCCTTTCCTTTCCTTTCCTTTCCTTTCCTTTCCTTTCTCTTCTTTTCTTCTTTTTTTGAGTCAAGGTCTCACTATGTAGTCCAGGCCGGCATGAAATGCAGTGTGTAACACAGGCTGGCCTTGAACTCGAGGCAATCCTCCTGCCTCAGCCTGCCTAGTGCTGAGATGACGGCCATGCACCACCACGCCGCGCACCACCACGCCGCGCAGGTAAAGTGCCTTTCTGGAATACAGTTTTGATCTGCACATAGGCGTGTGCACGCACTCACACGTGTACTGTGCCTTAGGTCTTGCTGTGGGTGTTGGAGAAGGAGCCCAGGCCCGTGCACACTCAGCAAGTGCTCTATCACTAGGCCAATCCCAGCCCCAGAAATGTGCGCTATACCTGAAGAAGAAGAAGAGGAGGAGGACGAAGAGGAGGACGAAGAGGAGGATGAAGAGGAGGAGGAGGAGGAGGACTCCTCTCTCTTACACGGCTCCCGGGAAAGCAGCCCAGCCTTCCTGTCTGGCCGGTGGAGCTCCGTCTCGCTGTCTGGGAGGCACACAGCAAGGCGTGAGTGTCCCTGCCTGTCGCCCCAGGACACCGGCGCTGCAGGGGTCTGTTGGGTCCATGGGAGTACGGTACAGGAGGTCCCAGCTCTCTAGGAAGCCCCCAGCTAGGACACCTCTGAGCATGGAGCCCAGGAAGGGGCTTTGCAGCTCCCTGCCCAGCCCAGAGACCACCAGACAGGCAGCCCCAGGTGACCAGGAGCTTCCTGCCCTCCACCTTGGGGCCAATAGGACCCCGCCCATCTTTGAATGACCCTCCTCAGGGCCACCCAAGCCCTTCCCTCCTGGTGCTGTAGATACAGGGAGCACCTGAGGGTCCCCTCAGCAAGGGGCAGCTGTACTGCACCTGGGAGAAGTCCTGACTTCCCCTGGTGCCCCTCGAGCTCAGCAGGGTTCCACCTCACATGAATGCCCTCTCCCCTCAGCCTTCTGCCCAAAAACAGAACCAGGGAACATACAGGGCGTACCTTCTGCTTCTCTGTGGACGTGACTGCTGTCCTGAGGCGGGGAGGGGGACACGGAAGTCTCCATGACGTTCCCTGGAGGAAGAACAACAAGAATTAATTTCACAATATCCTTACTATATAAAGAGTTTGACAAATAAATAAGAAAAAAGAGACGTCTTGGCATACACCTGTAATCCTAGCATATAGGAGGCTAAGGCAGGAGGATCACCATGAGTTTGAGGCTAGCTTGGGCTACCTATTGAGCTCAAGGCCACGGTGAACTACACAGTGAGACCCTGTCTCAAAAACCTAAATAAATGAAAGGCCTGGACATGGAGGGGAACCAGCAAGGGTCACCCTTGTGGCCGGCAGTCTGGCAACAGTGGTGGGAGAGGCAGTGGCAAGCAGGAGGGAGCTGGATTTCAGTGGGGCTGAGGCAGCTTCAGAGGCTCATGGGAGCGGTCGGTCTGGTGTGGACTCTGCTCACAGAAAAGGCTCTGTGAGCTGGAGATCAATCACACATGTGAGGCAAGCCACAAAAACAAGCTGTTCCAGCTGGGAGAACAGGAGGTGCTCAGGTGAGCCAGAAAAAGTTGCTAGGCAGAGGTGTTGAAATGGACGTCAACTTTCCCAGAGTATAAATGAACTCCCTGTGGTGGTAGAGCAGTTCCTTTCCTCCCATCTGAGAAAGGGCTCCACCTGACCTCAGCTTTGTGTCTCTTATCTTTATTTCTCCATCCTCTCGCCCTCCCTCTCCTCAGGAACTTTGAGAGCTGTGTGTCCACTGGCTGAGTGTGGTCCACTGCACCCCAGCCCTTCCTCCCTAAGGGTGACAGCTCTATCATAAACAGCAGGCCTACATCCAGACCCACCTCCCACAGCTGGACTGCCTGGACCTTGGTTCCCCAGCTGCAGAGACAACTGGATCCTTCTAGCCTGGACATACTGGCAGCCTGACGCTCCCTTCTAGTTAAAGCCTTTGAGGTTCATCTGTCTACTCTGCCAAGAACTCCGTGACTCAGGAGTAACCTACTCTGGGGTGCTATCAGCAGGCCCTTGAAATGCTCCCCAAATGGGCACCAGGTGTTTAAATCAGCTTGGGAACAAGCGCAGTGTGCTTATACTCGAAGAGTGTACTCAAGGCTCTGACAGCACTCATGCCGTCCCATCCCATCCTCCCCAGCACACAGCCGACAGCATCAGCACAGCTGTGGGCAGTGCCATCAGGTGAGCATCCCTGGTGTTCCCGAGGTCGCTTCTCCTCCTGGCATCCAGACCTGCACATGCTCATTGCCTATACTGGACAGTGCTGCCCGCCCAGGCCCAGTGCTCTTTGTCCCTCCCTCTCTCCATCAGGACAGCTGGGGAGGACACTCAACCACACACGGGGGTGGGGCATGGACATGAATGGTCTTTTTCCAGCTGCAGGCCTGTGCCATTGTCACAAGACCCCTGGGCCCATCACTGCCTTCCTCGACCTCCATTTCTTCATTTGTAAGACTGGGCTTTTGACTGGGGTGCAGCTCCCTGGGGAGCACTTGCCATGCACCAGCAAGGACCCAGGTTTCGTCTCCTGCACTCCAAAGACAAAACAAAAAACACAACTGTTACGATGTCCTCCCAAAGCCTCATGTGCTCATAGGTGGGGCTTTTTGGAGCTGGCCAGATCTAGGGTGTGTGATGCTGGGATTAGGGGTGTGTGATGCTGGGATTAGGGGCGTGTGCTACAAAATTAATTTACTGATTAGCATTAGCATAGTTCTGGGTGTGGATAATGGAAGCCCTATCCTGGGTGCGGTTTATAGCCTGGGAGGAAGATAAAAGGAGAGAGGGAAGGCAGGCTGCTGTTGCTGCTGCTTCTCCTTCTTCTTTGCTGCCTACTGCCGGCCTGTCATGGATCATTTCTCCTCTGTGATGCCCCTCTGCCATGCTGTCCTGTCTTGGAGCCCACCAATTATGGACTGAAACCTCTACAAACCGTGAGCTAAATAAGCCTTTCCTCCCTGAACTCTGGGTGTTGGGTGTTCTCTCAGCAACAAGAAAATAACTAAGACAACAACAAACAGACATCGGGGACTGAGGTCGCTCACAAAGGTTCTGGCCCAGAGGCCAGAGGTTTTGCTCCTTGACATGCTGCCTGACCACCACCCCAAGCAATGTCCCCACTGATCGTGGGCTAGAACCTGCAAAGCTGTGAGCCACAGTGAAACCACAATGAACCTTTCCTTCTTATACGTCATGACCTCAGGTATTTTGCTACAGTGACATAGAGAGAAAGAAGCAAGATGCCGGTTTCCACTCCCTGTCTTGTTTTATCCCAGGTCAGCTAGGAAGTTTAATGGACAGATGACAGCTCACACTGCCCAGCCAGCTGAGCACAAACAAGGCTGTGGCCACCATCGCCCACAGTGCAGCCAGCACCTGGAACCACCCCTGAGGAGGCCAGGGGGGTGCACAGAGAAAAACAAGGTGAAAAGGGATACAGTCAGGTGTGACACCCAGAAGCAAAGTCCATCGTGAAGAAGGTGACCTTCCCTCTGTCCTTCATCACCACCAGGATCCTGAGGATGTGAGGTATGGAGACTGTCCCCAAGTCTCCACACAGCTTCTGCTAGAGGAGGGGCCAGCCCTGCTGAGCCCAGAGGGGGCGGGGTCAGGACCCTGCAGTGTTGCCAGGGCAGCTGCCAACCCAGGGCTCAAATAACTTCCTTACAAGCTGGTTGCAAGCCTGTAATCCCAGCACTCCAGAGGCTGAGGTAGGAGGATTGCCGTGAGTTCAAGGCCAGCCTGGGCTACATAGTGAGTTCTAGGCCAGCCTAAATTACGGAGCTAGACCCTGACTCAAAAAAAATTTTTTTTCGTAAAAGCAAGAGCTCTGGGATGGTTCTGAGGACAGTGTGGTTTGGGTAACAAGTTCGTGAGTGGCCATGGTTAGGCCATGTGTCCTGAGCTCAGAATCATCTAGTCTCTCAGGCAGTGATCATCAAGGTGAAGGAAGACAAGGAGAGAATATCTATTTCTACATGCTTTAAACTACAGTGAACAGCCGAGCGTGATGGCAATGCCTGTAATCCCAGCACTCGGGAAGCTGAAGCAAGGGGATCATTGCAAGTTCGAGACCAGCCTGGGCTACAAAGTGAGCTCAAGGCCAGTCTGAGCTGCATAGTGAGATCCTGTCTCAAAAAGACAAAACGAAACAAAAAACCCCACTAAACTACAGTCAACAGTATAGAGCTCATATCTGCTGTGCCCTCTCATCCCATAGGTCAGGTGCTGCACGTCATGTCCCCAGGTGGGGTCCCCAGAGGCCACCATCGAGCCTCCCAGGCCAGACAAGTGGGTGTCCTCCTTTTTTCTGCAAGCTATGCCGTCTACTGCGGTGTACAGAGGAGCCCAGGTGGGGGATTTGAGGCTCAGACAACAGCTTTCACAGAATTGGTCCCCTTAGTGCGGACAAGTGAATTCAGAATCACTGCAAAGAAACCATGGAGGGAGATAACTCTAATTACGAACAAGCAAATGAGCAACAGGAAGAAGAGAGAACAGAGCAGCCACACTTCTAATTCAAGTCCCGTGTCAGCCCGTTAGCACCACTGGACACAATCTGAACCCTAACACAACAGCTCGCTGGAGTAGTCATAAAGATCCTCCATGTGTGTCACAGCAGTGAAATTCTCGCTTGGTGACAGCTGTGCCTGGAGACGTGAGTGAGCTGGCCCAGCTTCTTGTACACACAGATGCTCCTCCACTTGCAAGGGGTTGGTAGGTTGAAGGCGTAAGTCACCAATGCACTGCAAACACCTAAGCTAGCCAGCGTCGCGGCTCAGCAACACAGCGTGCTGCAGAGTCCACTGCGTCGTGTCTCCCATGACCCCCAGCCCCACCCCGCTTCATGGGTGCGGGCTGACTAGGCACTGCTGCCACTTGCTGTTCTGTCCAGCAGCAGTCACCTGACGGGATGGGACTGCACAGCCGAGCCCGGGAAAAGACCCAGGCTCCAAAGTCAACACATGGGTTCTGTGAAATGCTTTTGGACCACCATACGGTTGGAAAATCATAAGTGGAATCACTGCTCAGTCAGGGGCCATGTGGGATTTATGAATTTATCCATGTTCATGCTGGGGATACCCAAAGCCCAAAGCATCTGCCTTTGCACAACCCAGCTTCCTTCTTGAGAAGCTTGCACAAACGCTGTTACGGTTTAAATCTAGAAGTCCCCCAAGCCTCGTGAACTCATACGTGGGGCTTTGGGGAGCTGACTGCATCATCGGGGTGCTATACTCATTCGTGGACTAGTCCACTGATGAGTTTATAGGTAAATGTGTTAGGAGGTGAGGCCTGATTGGCCTGCACGGGTCTAGATTCCTCCCCGGCCCCTCCCTTCTCTTTGCTTCCTTTCTGCCATGAGGTGAGCGGCTTTCCTGCAGCAGATCTGAAGCCAACTGACCATGCAAGGACCGAAACTTCAAAACTGTGAGGTGAGGTTTCAAAATAAACCTCACCTCCCTTAAGTGGCAGCTGTTGGATATTCTGTCCTAACAATGAGAAACAGACTAAGTCACAAAGTTGGATGACAGTCGCTCTAGATCCTTACGCCTTGCCAGGACCTTAGGCCTGCTTTGGGTTTTCAGGCCAAATCAGAATTTTTCCAGACTCAGGAACCAAGAAAACTAGGTGGGCATGTGTCCTCAACAAAACTTTTTTTGAGGCCTCATTGGTAAGCCTGAAGATTCATAGGGGAAAAAATATTTTTTTTTACAAAGTCATTGAAGACTTTCCCTGGTTCTAACTGTCCATGCTTGATAGAGTGACTAGTTCAGCACTTCACCTGAGCCACACCAATCTCTTTTCTCTTATTCTCCAGTCTCAGTCTCTGTCTCTGTCTCTGTCTCTGTCTCTGTCTCTCTCTCTCTCTCTCTCACACACACACACACACACACACACACACGTACGTGCATGACCACAATAAAAACCAGAAAGAAAGCATCTAGTGTGAGCACCAGACAAGCCTGGGTTCAACCCGCCTGTCCCGCTCACTGGCCTCAGGAAGTGACATGCACTCTCACAGCCTCAGGATCCTCACACGAGCAAACAGGCACAGGCACACCTCAGCGGTGCATAGGGAATAACCCAATTCAGAATGGCCAAAGGGCCCGAACAGGTGTTCAGATGGTCAACAGCACCGTGAGAGGCGCCATGTCACTCGTCACTGAGATGCCACTTGAAGGCCACCAGGATGGTCACTGTGAGGCACACAGACAATAGCAAGTGTTGGTTCAGAAACCCAAGAAACTTTAGGCTTTGCAGTGGGATTGGAAAATGGTAGTTCCTCACAATATTAAATACAGAGGTATACCAGATGACCCTGTGATTTCCATCCTAGGTATACATGCAAGAGAGCTAAAAAGCTACATGCATGTGAAGACCAGAACACAGATGCCATTATATAGCAGCATTATTCAAAATAACCAAAAGCAGAAACAACCCAAATGCCATCAGCTGCTGAATGAATAAACAAACTGTGACATAACTGCGCGATGTGGTATTACCGGCCACATAGCAGAAGTACTGACGCAACAACAGGACGAACCTCGACAGCACCATGCAAGAAAGAAGAGAGCAGAAGGGCCCAGCCCCAGCCTGGGAGGCGAAGCCTTCACTGCTGCCAGGGGAAGGGCTGGGGAAGTGACAGTGCTGATGATAAGAATGTTCTACTCAGACCAGGGTGACGGCTGAATGTACTGAAAAACACTGAACACGCACTGCTCGAGGGTGGATTTGATGGCATGAGCCTCATGTCTCAACACAGCTATTATGTGGGTGGAAAAAAGATGAAGACCTCACACACAGAGTTGCTGTGAACACAAGCAGCACCCGGCATGGCCCCTGGGCACAGCAGTGCGTGAGATCCCCGGGAGGCGGCTTCCCGAGGATTTCCAGGCATGGATAGTCAAACGTCTCCACGCCCGGGCATGAGCCAGGGCTTTCCAAGCACAGAGGGAGTTGTCATTTACACATCTACTCGATTAGGACCCGCAACAGGACAGGGCCTGATTCCCTCCCGCAACGCCCTCGGCGCACGCCCTTGACTCCCAGAGAGGGCTCTGAACAACTCTGAGGTTTTGGTTTTGGTTTTATTTCATTACTGGGGATGAGACCCAGGGCCTCTGCCCTGAGCTATCTCCCAGCTCTTTTTCCAGTTTTTATTTTGAGACAGGGCCAAAAATTTAAAAAATAATAAAAAAGCTGGCTTGATGCCAGAGAGCCGGGAGGCTGAGGCAGAACCAGCCCCTGGATACGGCCAATGGCCTGGGATAGGGGTGGCCCCAGGGCCTGGGTGGGCCCTAAGGGGTCAGCCAGGCCACCCCTAGGCCACACCACTTGTGCAGGGTGCTCTGAGGGCGGCAGGAGCCCTCCCCCAAGACCCAGCCTCTTCCAGCATTTTCTGCACACAGGTGCCCTTCAGCCCTTGGTCCCCACAAGTCCACTAGGCCCAGGCCCAGGCCCAGGCCCAGGCCGGTTTCCCCCAGGAGGAGGGCGACTGCCGGGGTGGCAGAGACTGAAGCCTTCAGGGACAATCCTTGCTTTCCTATGCTGTTTCTTCTGTCAACAGCAGGGCAAGAAAGGCATTACCCACCAATGGGGAAACTGAGGCCCGGCAAGCACAAGGGGCTTCTGAGCACCCCACAGCAAGCTGATGATGGTAGGAGATGGGCGCCTACCACGGCAGGTGCTGCTTGGTGGCAGTCTCAGAACAGCCCTAGGGATGAGCCTCTGTCATCCTCCCTGATCTCTCCTGAGATAGCAAGGAGGCTCGCAGTGCTAGGAAGCTGTGGGCCTGGTCACACCAGGGAGGCCTGACCACCCCCCCGTCCCCCCACTGCCCTGCCCCCAGCCCGCAGCCACTACCTGTGTGAGGAGCAAGGTGAGCAGCGAGGTGCACAGCCGACTGTGAGGCCACTGTGGGCAGCAGGGAAGGAGGCAGGAGGCACCTGTGACAGCAGGAGGCGGGGCCATGACGTGGCCCTGGCCGCCGGCTCACCCGGGTGGCATTCCTTCCTGCCTGCTGCCTGCCCTGCTATCGGCCCCAGGCCTTCCTGTCTGACTCGACTCTTCCCCCAGCCATGAGAGGGACAGATGGGGCAGCTACTCAGGAGCGAGGAAGTGGCACACATTGTCTCGGGTGCCCCTCCATCCACTGGGGTGATTCAGGCCCCTGTCATGTGTCCCAACCGGCCTCACAGGTCTGAAGACACTGCCGGTGACACGCTCTCCACTCCTGAGACTGAGGCTGGAGGAGACCAGGGGACCCAGGGGACCCAAGATTGGGGGATCCTGGAAGTGAGCACCGCTCTGGCCTCTCCTGGGGAGAGGGAGCCAGGTCCCTTCTCTCCACTTGCCCTGGGACCACTCTCATGCTGAGGCTGTCCTCACCAGGCCTCTCTCTTCCCTCTTCCCTCTGCACCCTCTCAGGGGAGAGTCCAAGTTCTCAGCCAAGCCTGCTCCATCTGCCCCACACCTCTACTCCTGGGACCTCCACTCCCACTCCGCTGCAGGTGTACTGCCTGAGCCCCAGCCACTCCCACAGGCCCCAGGGCCCTTACACTGGCTCTTCCATCTTCCCCCAAGAAAGCACACATCCCTGCTGCCCTGCTTTGGTCTCTGATCAAGCAATACCTTTTCTGAGGTCCCCCCTGGCCCTGCACAGTGGTGACCCCAGCACTGCCCTTCCCCCTCGCCCTGTGTCACTGTCACCATCTGACGTGGTTCTGTGCATTTCCTCAGGGCTTGTTTGTCCTGTTCTCTGGGATCTCCTGAAAGGAGCACAACTGACTCTGCTGAATAGCACACTGAAAGGTTGACCAGCGGGCTTCTGAGGGCAAGAGGTGCCACTGTGCTGTGTGCAAGGGGACTGCAGGCTGGGAGAGTGGGAAGGCTGAGCTGCAGAGACGGGAGCTCAGAAGCCAGACCACAGGGCCACCAGGAGGATGCAGCCAGGACTACATTTCCTACAGGACCCGGGAGGACATGGTGAGGGCAGGCGTTGGGTGCCAGGGCCCATGGCTGGGGAGGTGGGCCCTCAGGACAGGGCCATGGGAAGTGGAAATGTACCACCAACGCTGCGGCTGCCAGCCACATCTGGTCATGGGGCCCCTGAGCCGCAGCCATGCAGACCTGAGATGTGCAGTCAGTGTGAGGTGCATGTTGGATTTCAAAGTCTTGGGTGGGAAATATATACACATACATACGTGCATATATTACACCATTAATAATGTTTTCTGTCAAAATGATGATCTGTTAAAATCATAATATGGGGCTGGGGATTTAGCTCAGCAGCACAGCGCCTGCCTGGCAAGCGCAAGGTTGAGTTCGATTCCCAGTATCAGAAAACAACAACAACAACAACAACAAATCATAGTATTATGATGGTGCATGCCAGTAATTCCTGCTCTGCAGGAGGCTGAAACAAGAGGATCACAAGTTCAAGGCCAGCCCGGGCAACTTGGCGAGACCTTATGTCTCGCCAAAATAAAAAGTAAACTGGGCATGGTGGCACATGCCTGCAATCCCAGCACTCTGGAGGTTGAGGCAGGAAAATTGCTGTGAGTTTAAGGCCAGCGTGGGCTACATAGTGAGTTCAAGGCCAGCCTCAACTACGTGGTGAGACCCTGTCTCAAAAAATAAACAAAAATAAAAAATAAAAAGGGCTGGGAATGTAGCTCAGTACAAAGGCCCTGGGTTCAATACCCAGTGCTGCCAAAAGCCAAGAAACAACAAATAAAACTTTGGAAATGATAGGTTAAATGAAACATATATTATTAAAAATTTCAGTTTTCAATGTAGATATGGGAACTTTTAGATCTGTGGTAGGTGCAGTCTTCCTCGGTAGCTCAGAATACGTAGCTATTGGACAGTGCTGACTCAGAGAGATCGGACAGGGCTGGGCTTGGTAAACAGTGGGCTGTGGGGGGACGGAGACCCTTGGTCTGCCATATGCCTCTGCTCCCTCCAACAGCTCCTTTCTGAAGAGACCATCAGGCCAGAGGCCACAAGGACAGCATGCAGAGTCGGGTTCCAGCTCGACACAAGTGCATACAAAAGCTCTTATCTTTAAGATAAAATCTAGAAATAATAATATCAGTCGGCTGATAGGACAGGCAATGAGCTCTCTGTCCCCGGAGGTATGTAAGGAACTTGAAGACTACCTTACGCAGAGGAAATGACGTTGAACTCAACTATTCTCAAAATGTGGTCCCAGCCAGGGTGGGCTACAAAGTGAGCTCAAGGCCAGCCAGCACTGCATAGTTATCAGGTTAAATAACCCTTAGTTATTGCAGGCTGATTAGGCCCGCAATCTCCCAAGCAAGTGGATGGTGAAGGCTTAAATAAATGAGACAACTGAAATGATTTCAGGGCTCCAGGAGGGTCTCACTCTGTCACAGCTTCAATATTCTCTGAGCTTAGACAACAACTTCTCTGGGCAGCCTGTATTTATTTGGTTTTCAAACAAAGGAGGAGGATACTCAAGAAAACAGGGGAATCTGGCAGGACCTTGGGAGAATTTTCCCAAGTAGTAAATTATGTCAGTCAGGAAAACTACCTTATCTTTAGGCTGGCATTTATTGTAGGAGTGTGGGGCCTGCAGCTGCAGTCTCCTTGTAGTTAATTGGGGTTGGAGCCAGACATCCTCAGCTGTGGCCTTATCTTGTCCTTTGAGGAGTCTCAGCCTCATAGGCCAATACAGGCCTCAGGGTGACCAGTGACTCACAGAGGTTCACTTACTATGAGTCAACTGCCCATCTTCTGACAAGATGCCTAAGCTTCAGACAACTCACAAGTAAACATGGAAAGCCAATTGGTTAATATTAAATCCAGCTCAGAGCCACTTTGCAGTGTCTCCAACACATAGTGAAACCTTGTCTCAGAAAGACAAAAAACAGACAAACAAACAAAATGTGGTCCCAGACCAACAGCCTCAACACACCAGGAGCCCTTTTTGAAATGCAGGTTCCCGAACCAGCTGAATGAGAATCAGGTTTCTCCATCCGTGTTTTAACAAGCCCTGGCCTGCAATTCTGATGACTGCTCACAGGGAGCAGGAAGACTGAATAACGCTTCCCACCACATAGAGGCGTAAAGGCCTGGCACACAGCAGGTGCCCCAGTCCCAGTATAAGGTGCTTCCTCACTGAACCTCAGATTCCCTCTCCGCTCCCCCGCAGCACCCGGTGATGTGTACCTGGCACAGGATGGAGGTTCAACCCAGGGCATTTCCTCCCTCGCCACTGAGGGCAATGTGCTGGGGGCCTGAGCCCAGCTCCAGCAAGAGGGACCTCCCACGTGTGGCCATGACTCTTGGAACAACCTCCCGCCACTGTGGGTGCAGCTGACACCCCCAGGCACCAGCTCAGCGGCCGAGCGTGGCATCCGGCTTCCCTACATTCCAGAACTGCCAGCCGGATGCCTGACTCAGCAGGCACGTGTGCCCTTTGACAACAGCTAGGCCTCATGGCCTCAGTTTCCCCATCAACAAAGATGAGACAGCAGCCCCATCACAGCACGGACTCTGTACACAGGCTCATCAGCATACCTGGAGGCCTCTTCCGTGGGCCCATGCCCGGGAAGCATGGAGGTGATATCGGGGAAAAAAATGCAACTCCCAACCTGCTAGACGTCAGATACACAGAGTTTGTGCCCCCTGAAATCGAAGAATGAATTCCAAAGGACCAAGGAGGTTAGAGGAGGAAAGACATATTGGGGAATAGGAATAGCTCCTGGGAGACAAGAGAGGTCCCGGAAATGGGTTGCCACAGACCCACTTCTCTGAGAGTGTTTCATAGAGTAAAATCACCAGCGGGGTACAACATGGGTCAAACTATGATCAACCTACAGGATTACAAGTACAGCGGCTTGGTAATATTGATCCAGTAGGGAAGTAGTTAATGTAGAAAAGGGTACATGGAAAGAGCACAGGCATTTGTAGGAATACATGGACTCAGAAGTTCTGGTCACCGACCTGAATGGCTGGTGTCTGGTGGACTTCATTGGGCCAGGTGATGTCAGCTATAATATAATCTTCAAGCTGGGGATTTAGCTCAGCGGCAAGCGCAAGGTCGTGAGTTCGGTTCCCGGTACCGGAGAAAAACCAAAAAAAAAAAAATAATCTTCAAGTTACTATTTATCCCTCAGAGAAGCATGTGGGTCTGGTCATTCTGTCTTAATTTGTATCTAATTTAGCTGCCTATAATAGAGGGAAAGGAAGTCTGACTGCTAGGAGTGCCCAGGAGCCTGGTTCTTCTGGGTGCTGGGAGGATGTCTGGGAGTTGAGGCTGACTTAATCATCCAAAACCACCTATTAAACAAATTCTCAGAGTACTGTACCCACTTTGCAGGTGGGAAAAGTGAGGCTCAGAAAGCTGAAATGATCTGCTCAAGGGTACAGGGCTGGGAAGTGGTGGGGTCAGGATTTTGTACCTGAGATTCCATGACTTGAGAGCAGGAGGTTCCCCACTCCTCCATGGCTCTCCAAGTACACACATGGCTGGAGGAGGCCCCCATTCGTGTTATTGAAATCCACGTTTGAAGAATGAGCTTCATTGTTCAGTTTGAACAATGAGCTAAGTCTGTGCCATGAGAAACCATGGCAGGAACCAATGCTATTTGACACAGAATATATAAATATACACACATATTACATAGAGAACATATATTTATTTATTTTAAGCTTGTGGTGATCCTCCTGCCTCAGCCTCCTGAATGCTGGGATAACAGGTGTGCCCAACCATGCCCAGCCACAGTATACTTAGACTAAGTCTGACTCACCCTGAGCTCTAGGCCTCAGCTGTCTTACCTGTAAAGCAGCACAAGGAAAACCTGTCATGGCTGAGGGCACAAAGTTATACCTCATGATCCTGAGATAATTTACAGCGCTAGTTTTAAAAAGAGGGGCTGGAGAAAAACCCTATGTCACCTTGCCAAGCACAAAATGTAG